AGGCTCGCTTTCCAGGCTCGCGCTGTCACGGAGTCTGGAGGCTGCTCCACCAAGAGGGGGCTGCCCAGAGACTCCCGCCCGGGCCCCGCTGCAGCACAACAGTTGGAACCGGGGGCAGGCGGAGAGGGGGTGCGCCTGCCGCGGAGCACGCCAGTGAGCTGACACGTGAATGCTCTGTGACTGGCTCGCGGAGGCACGGCTCGAAAGCCCTGCTGCTGGCCTTGGCGGGTTCGGTTCCCCTCTCTCTCTGCGCGGTATCTCCGAAGCAGGTAAGTTTGAAGTTTCCTGAAAAGCCACGGTGCAGACTTTTTGGAGTCAACTCTGCTAACTTACTGCAAGATCTACTCTGGGCTGCCATAGGAGGGGCTGGGATGGGGAAGGGGGCCACAGCAAGTGAGCCGCAGGTTCAGAGCACACCCCCATGAAGGTGCAGGCGGTGGTTGAGACCGCGCACACAGCCACTGATCCTCCGTAACTGGAGGGGAGGACGAGGACCATCCCCGGGTCAGGAGAGGGCAACAAGACAGCTCTGCAGACTCTGAACCCACTCATAGGAGGCAGAGACGCTGTCTGGTTCAGTGTCAGGTGCAAAGTAGCTGCTCAATAAACACGGTTGAGCCTAACTTGGCATCCGTGGCTGGTCATTTATCTCTTCACTTGAGATGCGTGGAAGCCAAATCCTTCTCATAGATTCACATACAACAGAATGATGGCTTCTGCAAAATCAGTTTTCTAAATGTAGCTCCTACAGACACTGCTGTCAAGCAGAAAGAAGCAGTGTTTAAATTACCCAAATTTGTGGATGCCATCTTGATTGCAGGCAATAAAGATCAATATGGAGGGGGAAATGAAGCGCTGGGCCAGGCAATCTGGGTGGGAGGGACAAAGAGTCCAGTGTTCACGGGTCTAACGAATAAGGCTGGAAGGCACATGGTGATGTGTCTGAATGAGTGGGACAGACGTTAAGGTCACTAGAGAGAAGCAGGAGTGGGATTCCAGGAGGTGTAGAAAGCTCTTGATTTTGAGTCGTTCCCCACACTCTTACAGCGTCCCTATTGAGTACCTTACTGCTTGTTGCCTGGGCACAAAGATGGCAGACACGCAGGGTAGGCCTTCAAGAAGCTTCCCAAGCAGCCCTCACAGAGGGTAGAGGGGTGGATGGGATTCTGCCTAGAACATGGATTGAGTTGGATTAAGCAGGAGAAGAAGGAGACAGTCATCCCAGGGGTCACCGGGTTGGGGAAGACATACATTCTGTGTCTATGTGATTGAAAAGAAGAGGAAGAAGGAGGAGGAGGAGGAGAAGGAGAGGAAGAGGAAGAGGAGGAGGAGG